CTGCCGCCTGCAAGGACCCGAGTTCAATCCCTGGTATCAAAAAAAAAAAAAAAAAAAAAAAAAAAAAAAGAGGGCTGGGGATTTAGCTCAGTGGTTACACCACCTACCTCGCAAGTACAAGGACCTGAGTTCAATTCCTGGTACCACCCTCCAAAAAGAGAGTTACATTTCTTGAGTATTAAGGTGTGAGGAGAAATTAGGCAGCATAAGAAGTGTGGATCTATGCTGTAAAATAAGGCTGACAATATTTTTAAGTGTAACCACATTTATAGAGAAAATGGTAGTAGCAATACAACCTAGGTTGAATTCTGTGAGGTTTGTTTATCCTATTTATCCCTCAGAGGAATAGAATTGAATTTTAAAACAACTTATTTTAATACAGTACTTATTCAATGTCTCATTGTTGGAATTGCTATGGTTAGAATGCATCCCCCAAAAGTTCAGGTGTTAGAAACTTAATCTTCAAATTCATATGTTGATAGTATTTGAAGGTGTGGTTTTGGAGAGAGAATTAGGATTAGATGAAGTAATGAGGGTCGGACTTTATAAGAAGAGGGAGGAAAACTTAATCTTGCATGCTTGTCTGTCTTGCTATTTGATGCCCTCTGTCATTTTACAGCACAGCATGAAGCCCTTAATGGGATGCCAAGAAGTAACCAGTGCTATGTTTTTGTACTACCCAGACTCTAGGGCTTCCATTCTTTATAAATTACTCAACCTATTGCATTCAGTTTTAGCACCAGAAAATGGAGTAGACATTTAAAAAATCACCAGGTTTACAAAATTCTAAAGCTATAAGAAATACTCCATAATTTTAAAATGACTTAATATTTTATATTTAATACTATATTTTATGTTTTTATCTTACTATTTTTTAATTTTTTATTTAATGACTTTAATGTTTTTGATGATTTTAGAAAGGCACTTCAGAATTCTGTGCTTCAAGAGCATCATTATGACTATCACTTAGAAACTACCCCAAATTATATTTATTTAGGTTTTATAGTTATTTGACTTCTAAATTAGAAGATGCTGAATACCTGAAAGGTCTAAAGAAGAATTTATTTTGCCTTGGAAGTGCTGAAAAAGATTTCCTTCTATTAAAAAACAAAAACCAAAACAAAACCACAACCAAGGAACATGTCGGTATGTATCTAAAAGTCTGAAAAATTTAATTTCTAGTTTCTTGACATGGAAACTGGGCTGTTGAGAAAGTTAAACTGCAGACATGTTACCACACAAATGCTGGAGACCCACTGGGCTGGAGATGCTGTGAGAGGCTTTAAAACTGAATTGTGTCTGAGTGGGGCCTGTGATGTGGTTTCCTGATTCTCAGTCAGCCAGGACAGAACCTTCTAGAAATAGCAGCACGTACTGCAGAGTCCTCCTCTACCTTTGTTTCTTTCCTCATTTTGGCTTTTACTTTGAGTAGTGTTTTTAACCTGACCTCTGCTATTTGGACAAAGAAACACTGATCCTAAGGAAAACTGTGGTCATTGGTGGGCTCAGTTTGCTGGGTGAGCACTGTACCCTGTACAACATTCCCAGACCTCAGCACAACTGGCTACTTCCTTTTCCTCCCTGTCCTCCAACTGAACCTCCTTCAAAGCCATAGATTTTTAAAAATTTCATTTTGAAAATTCCATGGCTTTAAGAAATAATGTCTTGAAAGAAACATAAATAAACTTAAGATTTATAGTCCCATGACTGATGGTTTAACCCCAGTAAAAATTTGGTGTGTATCTTTCTAAGAATGTTCAATTAATTTTTAAAATTTTGGATTATATTTGTGAAGCCATGAATTTTACACTGCTGCATCTGCAGTTCTGGAGCATTTATTTGCTTGGGTATATAATCTTGAATGAAGAACTCAAACTCTGTGCTTTAGTTTCCTCATCTTTAAAATGGTGTAATGGGCTAGTACCTATGCCATTGTTATCTGAAAGCATAATTGAGTTATACTTGGAAAATACTTAGACCAGTGTCAGGAACATAATAAATACTCAGAAACTGTTAATGAACATTGATGTTTTCATTACCTGTATATAAATACTATTTTGCAACCTGATTTTAAATGTGAATATTGTGAATATTGCTCATATTATTTATGGTTAATACATGACTTTTCACTTGACCCAACATTTATTACATGATTGTGCCATAATTTATTTAACCAGTATACCATTGTGGGACATATATTGTTTCCAGTGTCTTTCATAGTAATAAATAATACTATAGTTAACATTTTATGTAGTATTTGGGTGTATATCTTCTTATTTCTTAGGGCAAGTTCTAAAAATAGAATGCTGGTATCAACCCTCTTTAGGTTTTCTTCTAAAATACTTTCCAGAAATGTCATGTGAATTTGTGCCCCAGTGCATAGGACTATTTCTTCACAACCCTAAAGCCCCAGGTGTATGATTTTGAATTTCTTGAGATCTGTAGTCTTACTAATCAGATGGTACTCTCTACTTTCCAAAGCTCTACTCTACTGTTTGTTTTCTTTCATCCTGAGTCCTTTTAAGTTGCTTCCCCTCTTCTTTTAATCATTGTTTTCTAGTCTTAAATGTCCTGTCACTATTCTGAACCATTTTGGATTTCTTCGCACCATTTCCCTTCTACCTATTTGGAGTTAGACTAGAATATTCTGTATTGCACAAGTGTGAGCTATGAGTCTAATAATGAATACCAGAAGACAGGAACTTTTTACCCCCCACTGAGCCCATATCTAACCAAAACTGAAGCTGTCTCCAAATGGACTTACCTACTTATTATAATTAAGAATATCCCTTTTGCCCAAAGAATGTAGCCATATGAATATGCATCTAGAAACTTAGAAAGTATTTTTACTCTGGACAGTAAGTTACTCTATATAACAATCAGTGCTTAACCAGGAAAATGGAAGCTACTCTGAATATTTAAACACAGAAGAAATTTAATTTAGGGGATGAGTTACACAAGTGATTGACAAGCTCAGAAGCCTAATAGGTACTGAGGCAATGCTGGGATCGATAACAACAGGGAGCTGGCCCCACCCTCAGCTAGAGGGACAAGGGGATGTGTCAATAGACAGAGCTACTCAGAGGGGCCATCTGGGCCTGTTTGTTGGGAGCTGGATCACAGAGGGGATGCAGATGTTTTTTGCTACCCAAGGCAGAATGGGAGAGGGAAAATACCCTGGTTTTCTCTTTGTCCCTCTCCAATCTCCTCCCATTGTCTTCCATTGGCAAAGTCAGCCAGGAGCCTATGGACAGACATGTTTGTGGAATTGTATGTAGCTGTGGTCAACCCCCTTATGACACTGAGCAGAGCAGAGGGGTTTGGAAGGGATCTAAAGGTGAACAAGCCAAGGCCAGGCACAGTGGTCTCTGGAGCCCTTTCAGGTCCACAGATAATATGGCACAGTGTAAGCCATGCTGGCCCAAGGTAGGCAATCCCAGGTTTGAATTCTGGCTCTGTCATTTACTGGCTCTCTGACCTTGGGCAAGTGACATAACCCCTTTGACCTTTAGTTTCCTCATCTATAAAAGGAGTCAAGAAGGTCATATCTCATGGGGTCATTGTGAAGATTAAATGATAGATATAAAAATTACAGTAAGCATTTGACAACAATTGGTTTCCTCTGTCACCTGAGAATTTATTGTTTCAAGACATATACAGTTGGGCATTTATTTGATCAAGGTCATCAAGCCTCTCTATTTTGAAAGAAGGGGAAAGGGCAGAGGCATCTTTCCTTTTGGAAGCTCTACCTAGGGTGGGGATAGGGATAAACTGCCCAATACTAATAATGGGAGATGATCTAAGAAACACTGAAAGTATCATACATAACCAATTCATTCATTCGCAAACATTTCTGGAAATTATTTAGTCATAGTCCATGCCCTGGAAGAGACGTTATTCCATCAGAGATATCAAGTAGCCAGAGATAAATCTCAATGCACAATGCTATGGGAATGTTTACAAAGGAGGGAGGCATAGTGTATCTCTGCCAGGGAATTGGGAGAAGGCTTTAGTAAAGAGATTGCTATTTGAGATGTGTTTTGAGGGATAGGCAGGAGTTAGTCAGCTGTAGAAATGTATGTAAGAATATAGAGTCATTAATAGGCCTGGGGTTGGAAAGCTAGTCACATAGCAGATGTGTTTTAGGGTGCTATGATTGAAATGGTGGTAAGCACAAGTGGGAGGTGTGGCTAAACGTAGAAGAGAAAGACACTGTGTGAAGGGCCTGGTATCAGAATCTGATGGTTTTATTAGTCAGCAGAGATTTTTAAATTAGGGACTAATCCACCATCTCTAATCTCGAATTTGGTAAAGTAACACATCTTCATCAGTCAAAGGGCTGATGGATAGGCTGGGGATTTAGCTCAGCAGCACCGCACCTGCCTCAAAAGCACAAGGTCCTGAATTCGATCCCCCTACCAGAAAACAAACAAAAAGCAAAACAAAACAAAGGGTGATGGATGTAGTTATATGTAACAGGGGCCATGGGTGCATCTCACAAGAATTGGAGAGTATGAATCAGAAAATACACAAAGATTTTCCCTTATTATTAAATACAAAGTGGAAAAAGTCATTAACTTGTCCTGCAGGCACTGCAGGGCTGAAAGTAAATATTTAAAATGTTCTCCTTCTCATTTCCACAGAGCCAAAAACATCAGAGGTGGGATGATGATGCTTGTGGTGTTGAGATAGGATTTCAAGGATTCTGATGAAATGTCTGTCTGGATGTTGAAAAGGACTTTGTGTTGCTGTAATTGCAAGGAAAACACAAAATGTTGATAACGGACCTTGCATGCTTTTAGAGCCCTTTCGCGTATATTATCTCACATCAGCCTCATGGCAATCTAATGTGTCAAATGGGGTTGAGGAGATGAACAAATGGAGGCCTGAGGGGTTCATACCTTCCTTAGGGTGCAAGAAGTTATACCCAAAGCTACAACTGGATTTATGGACACATAGGCCAGGGCCTTTCCCAAAACTGGGGTAACTGCTCTGCCTACCTCTTTTCTTCCGTAGGCCAGGATGGCTTCTTTGAGGTCTTGAAGGGTGTGTAGCTCAAGATCCAGCCTCTTCTTGTGACCCAGGGCCTGATAGGGGGCTTTTCTCCTCTCTCTGGGAGTCCATGCTGGGACAGCCAGCCCTTCTGAGTACAGGATCAGGGCACCCTTCCTGGTGCTGAACGTCTTAGGAAGAAAGAGGCTCCAGGAATGTTGGTTGGCATTGTCTTCTTCCTGAGGTCTGCTGACCAGGACATAGTCTTCTGGGGACTTCCAGTTCAGATAATCCTGCAACAGAAGGAAACTACCTAATGGAGCCACTATGGAAGACCTTGCTACAGAGAATACTTCTCAGGCAGTGTTTGGAACCTTTTCTTGTTACAGATTTTCTTTGAATTGTTCATGTGGAATTCTGAAATTCAATTGTTTACTTTAGCAACTGGCTTTTTTCTTCACATCTCAAGATTAGTGAGAAGCCAGAGCATGGTTCTCTATTATTCCATGCAACTTTCAGGAGAATCATTCAGGTCTGGAGGCTTATGTAGGGTACAGTGTAGGTTACAAGCCAGTTAAAGTTTCTGGGTATGCAAGCAAGTAGTCAGAATTGTCAAGGGCAGCAGATAACTTTGAAATCGGATCTGGACTAGTTGGGAGTTTAAATAGGAGAAAACCATTCCAACCCACTAGCACTTCAACTGTACAAGGGGAGAATTCTAAACATTCCAGATGCTGTGTAACATGACCTAATTTGGCTATTTAGGAGCCTATAAAGTAGTTAGATATCTTGTAAGAAAATACCATTGGCCATAGAGGCCCTTTGAAATTTTATATGTCTTTTAACACAGCAGAGGTCAAATTTCAGAACAATGAAAATCTCTGTATGGCCCAAAAATGTGAAAGTACCCTCAGTGGATTTCTTATTCCTGGCAGGATTCAAGAAATAAAATTCCAGTACAATAAGGGAATTTTGCCACCTCTTTAAAATCTAAAGTGAAATTTTTTTTGGCCTATATTGAATATGAATCCCCTGAGTTGAATTCCAGAAAGTTCAAAGAAGCCATTGAATTTGCAAGAACACACACAGCATTTCACCACAGAGCTGGATTTCTAAAAGCCAAATGACCGTTAGATTGCCTAGAACCCAGGTGGGGATTCTGGTTGTGAAATAAACCATCCAAATTCCAGACCATCTGGATTTTCCTTCAGCCTGAAGCAAAGGAGGCTGTAAGTGTGGGTGCAAGAGAAGGAAGACGGATGCTGTTGCAGTACTGAGGTGTTGAGATAATTACATTATTATCTTGAAGGAGAGAAAACCTCCCCTCATCATCTCACTAACACTGCCCACCAGACACACCCAAGTGGAAAGATAGAGAGCATTCCTTCCCACTATGAAAATATGCCTTTTTTTGAGTTTAAGACTCACCTCTGGTTCAAAATAGACTTCCAAATTCTGTTTGTTCTGGACCAACTTCCCGTGCCCCCGGCTCAGGAGAGAGAGGGTGAACATGTTTCCTCTCTGACCACCCCTTCTCAAGGGCAGTTCGTCTTAGTCTTGAAGGCTGAAAACTGGTCACACCTCAAGATTTCCAAAACTCCACAGAAGCCCAAGAAGACCACAAACACTGGGCCTTTTATTAAATACATTTCCCCCTCTTACAGCAGCTGCTAGTAACAACCAGCCACACAGTTTAGACAGTGTACATCTTTGTGGAGAGGAAAACAAACTGCGTACCCAGACACCTCGAGCCACTGACTGTCTATGCTCTGAGCAGCCTCCCTCAGCGTTTGCCTAAGCCCTTGTTGTCCCTCTGTCCTGGTTGCTCTGTTACTGCGCCACCCGCCCAGTGCCTTTACAGCTCTGGGCCTCAGAACCATCCTCCTCATTGGGAGTCCAGGTTGTTTCCTGGTTGCTATGGCAGCACAGTGAAATGAAGTTCCTAACCCCAGCAAGCACAGCACAAACTTCCCAGAGCAACAGTGCTGTTCACCAGCCTGGCAGAGGGTGTGTGTGTGTGGGGGGGGCTGCTAGACACTGCAGGCTGAGATCGAAAGTCCAGGTTCCAGGGTGGTTGCATTTTTTCTACGGTACAGTGATCTTGCTTTTAGTATCTTCCTCTTTCTCCTGACATGTGAGTCTATCACTGTGAACTAACCATTAACCAACTCGGAGTCATCTCAGTCACCTACAGCCACCTGTGACGTATTCCTTGGCTGTGCCCCAGGATCCTTTGAACAGCACACAGGCTTCAATAGACTCTAGGGCTCCCAGTTTCCTTTGAGCACCTGGTTCTCAACTGTGTATCTCCTGTCACCAACAGGGGGAACTTTGGAAATGTGGGTGGGCATTTTGGTTGTCACAACTCCTGCTGGCCTCTGGAGTACACAGTGCTCTGCAGTGTGGGAGACTGTCCTGGCTGAAGAATTAAATATGAGTCCCCTGAGTTGAATTCCAGAAAGTTCAAGGAAGACATTGAAATGGCAAGAACACATACAGCACCCACCAGAACGTCAGCAGCACTGCTTTTGAGAAATACTGCCCTTGGGCCAGGGATTTAGCTCTCCAAAGTGCAAGGACCCAAGTTTGATCCCCAGTACCACCCCCACCCCCAAAAAAGAGAGAGAGAGAGAAATCCTGCCCTGGCCTGGGCTGCTTGATTCCCCTTGAGCTAACACTGTGAGGAGCCTGAGAGAGGAGTGCCATGAACAAAAAGACCCCTTGCTTGTGATCTAGGTCTCTGCTTTGGCTTGAAAAAGCAAGCTGCCCTGTTATCTGTGAGCTTGTGAGAGTGCTTCCTATAGGGTTGAACGGAGAAACACAACAGGCTATAACTCCACTCACCTTTCAGGTCTTCAACCAGCAAGCACCGCCCCCCTCCACACTGCCCCAGGCAGTGGAACTTCCTTGAGGATGATTTAGAGGACTTGCTGTGAAATGAGTATGGGTTTGCCAGGGGGCATCAAGGCAGTGAAGGTAGACGCTCAGAACTGAATGTAGTCAAAACCCAAAAGACATAACACTTATATTACTAGAGTTCCTATTAAAAAAAAAAAAAGGCCTAACAAGTATTGGCGAGGACGTGGAAAAATTAGAACCCCTGTATACTGTTGGTGGAAATGTTAAATATGGTAGTCTGTGCAGAAAATGGAATAGCAGTCCCCCTGAATTAATTAACATGATCTAATACCTCCATTTCTGAGTGTATGCCCCGAAACAGTGAAAACGTCTCAGACATGTGTATACTCCATGTTCAGAGTAGTATTCATAAAAGTAAAAATGTGGCAGCAAACCAAGTGTCCACTGATGGACGGATGGTCAAGCAAAATGTGGGATATACCTACAATGGCACATCATTCAGACTTAACAAGGAAGGAAATTGAGACCCATGTTTCAACATGGATGAAACTTAAAGACATCACACTGTGTGAAATATGCCAATCAAAACAGACATGTATTGTATGAATACACTTATGAGAGAGACCTAGAGTAGTCAACTTCACAGAGACAGAAGGTAGAATGGTTGTGGCTGAGGTGTGGGGGAAAGTCGAAGGCTAAGTCAGTGTTTAATGGGTGCGGAGTTTCAGTTGGAAGATAAAAAAGTTCTGGAGATAAATTCACAACACATAGATGAATATATTTAATACCAATGAACTATAAACTTACTGGTTAATGTGGTGAATTTATTATGCATATTTTATCACAAAAGACTGGTCAACATTATTGTATAATGATCTCCTCACAAAGGTGACACAAAATTCCACAAACAGCGTTCTAAATGGTTTATCAGGTCATTCCTTTCCCTTCTCCTTCATTAGCCAGCCCTTCAAATACAAAATGAGACCTTCACAGAAATTTTCTGAAGCTGGGAATTGTGGCACATACCTATAATCCCAGCAGTCTGGGGGGCTGAAGCAGGAAGATCACAAGTTTGAGCCCAGTCTGGGCAACTTAGTGCCTTAGCAAGACTGTCTCATGATAAAAAATAAAAAGGGATGGGAATGTAGCTCAATGCCAGGCTCTGAGGTCAACTGCCTGTCCTGAAATAAAGATTATCTTGTGATTACTCCGAGATATCTCTGTACTCAGGGGGACCTGGTCCCTGAAAATTAGAGACAGCTGTGATCATGGAGGTGGAGAGATGTAGATGCCCAAGGAAAAGAGGTGAATGTGCACAGATGGTTGAGGAAGGGCACATGGTGGGCACCTTGGAAGTCTATAGAGGTAAAGGATATGAAAAGAGGACATGAAAGGGCAATAGTTTGCTGGGAAAATAAGAGGATGGGGTGCAGGGATGATGGAAGATGGAATGAACAGGAACTTCAAGGACTCTGGGGAAGGAGTGATCTCTCCGGTGTGGCCAGAGCTGCGGTCACGTGGACTGATGACACTAGAGAAGCAGAGGCCTAAGGGACCACAGGCAGCCTGGGTTTTATTCTTCAGGTTGTTTTTTCAAAGCAGAAAGGTGATATGATTCTGCCTGGGTTTTTTAGAAAATTAACTCTGAGGACCTCATAAAGAGTGAGTAGAAGGAGGAGTGCTCACTTCCTGTTGCTGAGGACCACCTAAGAAATATAATTTAAAAGGAGGAAAAGGGCTGGGGATTTGGCTCAGTGGTTCCGCTGCCTGACTTGCAAGTGCAAGGACCAGAGTTCAATCCCTGGTACCGCCCCCCAAAAAAATAGGAGGAAAGATTTAGTTTGGCTCATGGTTTAGAGGTTTCAGTCCTTGGTCACTTAGCCCTGTTGTTTAGGGTGTGGCAGAGGAAAGCTGTTCAACTAGTGGCAGCCAAGAAGAACAGAGAGAACGCTCACTGTTATCATGAAGATCTCCCTCCCAAGCCCACTGAGCTATGAATCCATCAATGGATTAATCCTTTCATGAGATGAGAGCCTTCATAATCCAACCACTTCCCAAAGGACCTACCCCTGAACACAACTGCACTGGGGGCTAAGGCTTCAACACAGGAGCTTTTTGGGGGGACATTTAAGATCCAAACCCTAAAAAGCACAACTTATCTCAGAGCTCCTCTTCCCTTGGGTTTGAATGAACTTTTCAAAAAGTTCAGGACTAATCACTTGCTAAATGGTCATTGAGTGACACATGGAAGAGAAAACTCCATAGCAGCTGCAATGAAATAGAAATCTTACTGTTTTAGAAATGCCACTGTTCAGGAGAAAGAATGAGGTAGCATTGGGATGGAGCAATTGGAAGTTGAATGGGAGCCATTACTGTTAGCAGAGGGACGACTACCCAAGTTTCTCCAATGGAAATTCTTTCTTTGAGAAATTCTTTCACTGAACTTAGCTGATTTTGAAATGCTAATATGACCATTAAAGGTGAATCAAGGTCCCAGAAATTAGTCTTTATAAGTCAAGATTGAGTGAGCATCTTGCCTGGGAATAAACTCGGGTGTCCATGTGGCCCTGCCAATGAGGGGCAAGGTTACCAGATCTCTCTGGGGTTGCAATCTATGAGCAGTCAGACCACAGCCCAAACAAGGCCTGTCCCAAACCATCGTGTTTACATCCTGCTGTTTAATATGGACAATGAGCAGATCCACAGATCAATTAATAGGCATTTAAAAGCATTTACTCAGTCCCCTAACAGTTTATGGAAAGTGCATTTAGAAAGCAATCGAGGTTATTGTGATTCTAAAGAGCTTAGGGATCCCAGATGAAAGGCCCTTGTAACTGGAAAGTATTTATAACTCAAGAAGAAACCTTCCACACCCATGTTATACAACACCAACACCATCTCCTGGCATGCCTGACCTGTCAGCCCATGCAGCAAGTCTGTTTAAATTACACTGTAAATTCTATAGGGTGGAGACTTGGTTTTTATGGTTTGTAAAGTGTCATGAATAACCATAGCAGTCTGTAAATAAATAGAAACCACATGAAACAAAGAAAACAGATGCTATTCAATGGCATGTCCCCAGTACATTCAGGAATTTGTCCCTTGTCCCAAAGTGGTTGGGGTAGATGGAGCCACTCTGGAGAAGTGAACTTGGATTTCTCTCACCCACTTTGACGAAGTGTGTATATTTTCTAGAAATTTTGTTCAATTTCAGGGGAAATCTACAAGAAGAACCATTGGTGTTGGCTTTGCTTCCTGAGGTCTGTGCATAGAGAGATTAAGTGCTTTTTAAGTCATTTGGTGAAATGGGACCTGTCCAAATTTGATCCAAGTTCTACTTGCTGTCCATCTCTTCTCTACAACAGAGTAGTGTCAATCATCTGTGAGAAGCTCCATCAAGGCTACCATGCAGCTGTTAGGAAGCAGCTATGGTAGTGGCCACCATGATGCCCTCCTTAGCCACAAGCTGGAGACTGGACACCAGGCCCTTGGTCAGGCTGCCATGACTCCCTCTGAACACTCATATCTTTCCAACCTCACTGCTCTGCTTGACTTTGCAAATATAGTTTCAAAGTTGTCTAAGAAATAATATTTCCAGATTCCTAACATCTGTACTAGAAGGAAGGTGGAATGAAGGTTGATAGAGTCAGCCATGATGATCTCCCATAAGCACTCAAGATAAGACAGGGTCAGAAGGAAAGATTTTTGAAAATATGGACTGTGTATGTGACAAGCAATATGGCCATGCACTGAAGGGTCTTTCTACTTGCTAGTTTTATCTCTACCAAGAGTATAAGTCCTAGGAAGGTAGGAACCATAGCTTGTCATCCTTTGTACCCTTCCTTAGCATCCTTTGCATATAATTACAGTTGAATGAATATTTGTTTGCATTGTAATATTTGTTTGCTGTGTGATTATCTTTGAGCCAGTAAGAAAGACACATGTAAGAAGAGAATTAGGTTCAAAGCCTCTTTTGGTAGCTAACACTTTGGCTACCCATAATACACAGCTTAGATCTGTAGGTTAAAGGCTCC